ATAGGCACTTTAAAGTTAAATTATGATATCCTAATGAAATTTTAACAATCTCCTAATTACTGCAGCTGTATGTACATAATAAATGTTTTTTAGTGATTGTAACTTAATCTGCCAAGTACAGGTACTTAATGCTACAAACAACCCAATACAATAATATTGTAATTATGTGTATACAATTAATTATTTAATAGTGCAGCAAGAATGCCTTTTTAGTTGTATATACATAAAAAAAAAGTTTTTTAGTGATTGTAATTTAATCAGCCAAATAATGTAAAGGCACTTGGCTTTAAAGTTAAAAAATAATATCACAATGATTTTTTAATAATGTCCTAATTAGCTGTATATACACAAAAAATGTTTTTAGTGATTGTAATTTCATCAGCCAATTGGCACTTGACTTTAAAGTTAAATTATGATATCCTAATGAAATTTTAACAATCTCCTAATTACTGCAGCTGTATGTACATAATAAATGTTTTTTAGTGATTGTAATTTAATCAGCCAAGTATAAGTACACTTGGCTTCAAGTTAAATAATAATCTCATAATGAATTTTTAATAATGTCCTAATTATCTGTATATACATAAAAAAATGTTTTTTAGTGATTGTAATTTAATCAGCAAAATACTGTATAGGCACTTGGCTTTAAAGTTAAATAATAATATCACAATGATTTTTTAATAATGTCCTAATTAGCTGTATATACATAAGATATTTTTAGTGATTTTAATTTCATAGGCCAAATATTGGCATTTGGCTTTAAAGTTAAATAATGATATCCTAATGAAATTTTATAATCTTCTAATTAGCTGTATACACATAAAAAATGTTTTTTAGTGATTGTAATTTAATCTGCCAAGTACAGGTACTTAATGCTACAAACAACCCAGTGCAATAATATTGTAATTATGTGTATACAATTTAATTATTTAATAGTGCAGCAAGAATGCCTTATTTTTATTTATTTTTTTTTTACATGTTGGTTTCCAGCATATCATATGTATTCATTCCAGCATTTTTATTCATGATTGGCAATGTGTTGTATATTTTAGTAATCAGTTACAGTATATGTAAATAATTTATTTTGTAAATCATATTTAAATAATAATAGAAATTTAGAACCTGAAACTTGTTGCTTTGTTCGTACATGGCGTCTCTAAACAATAAGTTCCAGAAAGGCTGCATGGATTGCAGTATGTTTTTCTTTAATGTTTCTTTACATGTTTTTGGAGAAGCTTTTTTAACTACCAAAAATATTTTTAATCATAATTTCCAATTGCTTAAATTGCATGTATTACATCAACTGTATTGAGGAAAAGGTTTTTTTTTTTTAAAGCCAATCAAAGCCTTAAGTATTATCACCATTTTCATGGGTTAACTACCCTTTTAATGTATTGATATATTAATAGTGTGATCTTCCACATTTTGACCATTAAAATTTACACAGTACCGAAAACAAACTTTTTAACGTCTAAATTAAGTAATTAATAGGCAAAGACCTGGTTGAATTATGCGACTCTTTGGATAGATAGCTAACCATCATAGGTTTTGAGAGTTAAGCATAACGCATTACACATGCGCTACATAGCGAGACAAGCTAGCGCAGCAGAATAGCGAAATGATGGAATTTTTAATCACCTTCTAAACTTTTTTTTTTGCACAAATTCTGCATGCATACAGCATGGATTTAAATTTACTCCTCGATGTTCATTTTTTTAATTGGACATGCTTACTACAAAAGTGGTGGCGCTGCTTGGAAGGAAGGGGGTGGGGAAGGGGGTACGGAGCTTCATTCTCAACCCCCTCCCCCTGAATGGAAAAAAAACAACAATGGAGATAAAACAAATTATGTTAATAGATTCTAAAATCGATTAAATAAGCCTTTGATACCCCTAAATTGTAATATTTTCAGAGGGTAAGAGCTGTTTCCCCTGGACCACTTTAGTGACGACTGACTACGCTCACGTTCTTCTCGTTGGGGACATCACACCCTCCCTCCATCGGGGAAATACTGGTTTCCGTTTTCGTATGCAGGTTTTTGTTTTCAAATATAAAAACTACCACCTTCTTCTTTTATATATAATTTGACATACAAAAGAAACAATTCAAATTTTCATAAAATTTATTTCTTTTATTTATTTTAGGACAAAAACAAAAACAGACAATACAAAATAAGCAAGACTAGGCTTCAATAGCTAGCTGCCAGCAATTTAAAGCTAAAAATAATAAAACAAAAAAAATCCATAGTCAGCTAGCTGCCAGGGCTTCTCTCTTCAGAGATTATGCTCAACATATAAATCCCCATTGGAAACATGTCATGCGCAGAAACCAAAAGCTCCACGGAATTGTTCAAGCGGAACTCTCAGCAAAAGTAGATTATAAAGATGTGGGTTAGGAAAAAAG